GACACGAACCGCGGTCGACTACATGGGAGTCCAGCAACATAGCCATTACGCTAACTGCTGGTTCCAAGATAGATGCTTTTGAATAGAACTACAGGATTAAAGAATCCAGCATTGTACATGAACATTTAAGTATGGTCTCATAGCACAGCAGTTAAACCTGGTGCATAGGGAGTTGGACCCTCACATGGTAGACCACCTTTAAAATTCTTTTTTGTTATTATTTTTTAATTCGACCGGAGAGAGACAGAGAGGGAAAGTGAAAAAAAAAAGCAAGCCACCAGGTCCAGGACTCAAACCGTGACTGACCATGGGGGAATCCAGTACCCCTAACCACCATACCACCTGCTGGGCCCCATTAATTTTTTTTAAAGAATTATTTTATTTGCCTTTATTTTTAATTCTACCAGAGAGAGACAGAGAGATAAAGTGAGAAAGTAAGCCACCAGGTCTAGGACTCAAACAGCAGTTGGCCATAAGAGGAATCCAGCACCCTTAACCACACCACCTGCCAGGCCCTGGATCACCTTTTAAATAAATACTGGCCTGGAACAAAACCCAGATGGGATGAAGAAATGGAGGAAGAATTGAGGCAGAAAGATGCCCCACTGGGGGATGCTTTCTCTGGTGAGTGCATGTGGCTTATGACATTTTTTTTAAAAAAGAAAGTTTTAGTTTAAAAATCTTCCCAATTTTTTTCATTACTGAGGGTGCACCCACTTACCAGTGAGAAATTAGGTGAGAGGCAGGGGGAGCATCTGGCAGCTTAAAAATCATGCTATGTTTTCCAAATCCCAAGGGATTTAGTGTAGCCACATCCTTTCTCCATTTCTCCACCAGACAGGCTTTTGGACACACACACACATGCTTGGTAAATTTTCAAGCCAATGTGGTTGGCCATGTGGGATAATTCAGCTCCCCTTAACCACTGTACTATGAGGCCAGTCCTGCACATTTTTGGGAAATTGTGAGAGAAATGCAAAAGGTCCTGAGGCTGCCTGAAGCCAGAGGAGTATCCAAATCCCTAAGAACTTTAGATAGAATCCCACCAGAATGAAAATTCCATGACTTCTGGGACCATGATGTCTTACCCCAGACTACCAGTGGCCTAAAACACGGTCCTTCTGAAGCACTCTCTAAATAAATGAACATACATAGGCCAGACACAGGCGTTTTCCTCAACCAGGGTGCAAAATTTTAGAAAAACCTCAAACATCAAAGTTTATCTTCCAGAGATTTTAGTATCTAGGATATTCTAGGCTCCTGTATTTTCATCTCATTTCCTCCTTTGTCTCTAAGCCACCACCCCTTGGTGTTTGGGTGATACTACCCCATGGGTATTTTAACCCCTTCAAATATCCATGATGTAGACAGTTCCCTTCTGAGACTCAAACCACTTGCCAATTTCAACAGAGTTTAAGAGAACCTGAATGAATTCCTGCTTGAATGAGTTTAGTAGGGACCAGTATATAGCATAATAGCTATGTCGCTGAACTCCCATGTAGTCAACCGTGGTTCGAGTCCTGGACCCGGTGGCGGAAACGCACGCCGGGCACATGTGCATGCGTGCCCAGGATCCCGAGAGGAGAATGGAGAAGGGATTGCAGCATGGCCATCCCCCTGGGGGGAGGGGGGGCTGTGATTTCTCACTTTCTGCCTCTGTCTCTCTTTCTGGCAAGCACGCACGCACTACAGCAAAAACCTCTCCAAAGGAAAAAAAAAGAAAAAAGAATGAGTTTAGTAGAGATGACCAAAAGTAAAATCCAACTGTACTAAAGAGGGAGAAAAGTCATTGAAGGGACCAGCAGATGGCATGATAGTTACGTCACTGGATTCCCATGTTGTGCACATTTCGAGTCCCAGACCCAGTGGCTTGAAATTCACACTGAGTGCATGTGCATGCATGCCCAAGATCCCAAGAGAATGGAGGAAAAGGGACTGTGGCATGGCCACTCCCCCCTCCCCCAGGGTGATTTCTCCCTTTCTGTCTCTCCGGTGAGTGCACACACCGTATAGCAGAAATCTCTCCAAAAAAAAAAAAAAGAAAGAAAGAAAGAAAAATCATTGAAAGCTAGGTTGAATTAGATGGTTTACTAAAGAATAAATACTGAACCATGGAAGGAACTCCCCTCACTGAAACCTCTTCTAGCCTGCCCTAAAAGGAATAACAAAAAGACCCAGTTAACTAAGACTCTTACTGAAGGACTTGGAGTATAGATAACCATGCCAAGAAACACACCCCCAATTGGCCAACAAACAACTGCTAGATCTTCGAACTTTGAGCCAGACTGTGCCAAGGGAAGATACAATATTCTCAGTGGTTAAGAGCATTAAAATTAAGCAAAAAGCATGTCCAATTTTGTACAAAGGTCCAAAGGTAAGAAAATGCTTTGTGGGACCCACAGTGGTTCAGATGCTACAGCAAGGTGAGGAGCTAGATAGGCAGAAAAAGAAAATAAACCATATGGTGGCAGCCTTGTTAACCCACAAATCCTTTTCAGGACAAAGAACCAGCAGTAGCTACAGAATTCATCTGCTTGAAGTTTAGGTGACTATTGTGTGTATGCAACACTGCATTCCCTGGACCTGGCACAGTGCCTGATCCAGGGGATATCAAAGTTCTGGAGATTTTTGTTTCTTTCTTAGTTCGAGTCTGGGCCATCCATCTAATCAAATTAGATCTAGGTAGGGAAGGCAGTTTCTTCTGTGGTTCTCAATGGGGATGGTGAGGGAGGGAGTTTGCCCCCTTTCAGGGTACAGAGACATTTTTAATTCTGACAACTGGGGTATGAAGTACTACTGGCATTTAGTGGATAGGGACCAGGAATGC